TATATATATATATATATATTATAGAAATATTTACTATTAATACATAACATTTTATATAATCTAAACAAAAGACTAAAATATGTTATTTAATTTATTTTAACGGGTGTTACATTTTTTTTAATTTATACATTGATTGATATCATTGTTAACATAAATTTTAGTTATTTTGTAAGAGTCAACAAATGTAATACATAATAATTTTTTTTATTGAATGACAATGTAAAAATTATTTTGCATTGTTAATATATATTTTTTTCCTTCTCTATAGACTCTCAATTAGAGGTGACAAAGTGAACAACAACATGTGAATTAGCCCATCAAACTGCCAAAAATTAGCGAACTAAAATGGATATTTTAATTCGTCAATCTTTCAGGTCAAATGGTGGGTTGACATGCTAGCTTATGGTGTATGTCATACTTGTATTGTAATTCTTAAGGACTATTATAATTTTTCTATTAAGAGACTATTTGTAGTAATTTTTATTGAAAAAGAAAGACTTTTTGCAATTTGTAATTTATTATTTGTGTTATATTCTTGAAGTTGAAGGAAAATTTTATGTCATGAATCCCTTGATTAAATTTCTCAATTACCATTAAGAAAATTAAATTTGTCAATTTAAATTAACAAAAATAAATAAATAACTGACTTTGACCGATCTATCAATAGTGTCTACAAGACTTTTTACCCACTTTAATCAAGCATATCAACTTGTTTCGTATTTTTTTAATGAGTTGTGATGAGATAGATTAAAATGGGTTGGATCGACCCATTTATTTTGCTATCCCTCTCTATACATGAGTAGAGTTCTTTTTTTTTTAACTTGTCCAACAAACTTTTATCTCATTTTTTCTTACTTAAACTTTGACTGTGAAAAAAAAATGAAAAATAAAGTAAAAAAAAAATATATATAATAAATATATAAAATAAAATAAAATGGAATTTGTCTTGCTTAACAATAATAAGAGAAAATATAAAAAGAAGTAATATTAGAAATACCAAGGAGAGGCTTACTTTTCGTCCAAAATCATGCTAACCAAACAAAGCATACAAGCATGCATTTAGTCGATTTTTTCAACAGCAAACGAATAATTGCACTCCGTACACGTATATTTGTGTGAACCATTTAGTAAAAAATGTGTTGTCGTATTAAGGATATATTTTTCATTTACTTAAAAATAAAGTATTCTCGTTTGTATCCTTAATTTTTTCTCTCTCAAATTGATGTTACTTTAGTCAATTGTTTTACGTATACAACATGTAACGATTTTTCTTATCTATAAAATTTATAAACGAACAATAGAATTCGAAGAATTTAAAATCTTACGTATACTGTTCTAATCCTCTACAACTAGTTTCAGCATAGTGGTACAATAACATAACATGTAATGATTATTAACTCATTAAGAATTCTTTTAGTATTTTTCATTTGAAAACTATTGTAAAACACATTCTTACTATTTTGATAATACATTAAACATCATATTGTTTATTTACATTTGTAAAATAAAATAAAATGATATTGTGATATACTTGGCGACAATTATGCATATAAGACACCCCAACTTAAGATAGTAAGCTACCTTAATAAGACATACTTACTCATCACAACACTAAACTGGTAGAATGAGGATTCACAATCGAACCATTTTATCACTCAATTATAATTTGTTTTTCCTCATCTGTGTATATTTCCTTTTTCATTCTATCATCTCATGCACACGATACTATAAAGTGATGCACTTCATGGCATTTAAATCCCTCCATATGTAGTTTATATCATTCAATAACAAACAACCACTTCCAGCCTTTCTTTATTTTGTTGCACTATTTGTTTTTTATTTGAAAACTTTCTTTATTTTGCACTATTTATTTTTTATTTGAAACTTACACGCTAACATAAATATGCAGTGATGTAGTAGCAGTACATGCACCTTGCATTATTCTAGAGCTTTTTTGTTTCCACAGTTAGTCTTGGTTGTGAGGTTGTAGAACATGACACGCATATCAAATCTCACACAGCCTTATAGGGAAAGATCCCCATCACACAGCCACAAGTTCAGCAACGTCTCTAATAACCACTGCTAATCACTTTCGACTTTAATTAATCGACACAAAATAATTTCCCACTAATATAATGAATGCCTTTTCATACTCATCGCAATAGCATTATCTCACTAATTAACTTGATATAAATAAAAGGCAAGAAAGTCTACATTAGAATAAGGAAAAGTGGACGTGAATACACAATTCATAAACCTATGGTCAGAAACCAGCAAGTGTTGTAAACGGTTAGATTAGAAGTTAATGATGAAAGAGCTAAAATATCTTGGTGGATCGTGCGGCTGAGAAACCCTCACTTTCCACAACACCAAACGCCGTCGTATTATCGATCAACCACGACGATTCTCCCTCCCACGGCACCTACGTTTTGACGCCCAACCCTTCTCACGCTCCTGCTTTCACGCAACAAAATAAATAAACAAATAAATAAATAACAAAAAAATAATAATTCCTGGTCCGAAACAAAAAAAAAAAAAAAAAAAAAAAAACCTGGGGACGAGGATCATCATTGTCGTCCTTGCGGTGTCGTTTGGACGAGGATGTTGCTGTCGTTTCGGATTCGGAGACGAAAGCATGTTGGTGGTGGTTTTTGCTGGCGGTGAAGGAGGAGCATTCGCTGCTGGAGGAGCTCGGCGGCGGGGCGGAGGAGGACCATGGCACGACCTGGTTGTCGAATTGGTGGTCATTGGCGGCGCAGAGGTGGCAGAGGGTGGCGGCGGAGGGGAGGGTGGCGCCGGAGGCATTCCACGGCGTGGG